ATGGTCATTGGTCACGTGCCTATTGCACACCAAAATATTTTGGTAATGTGATTATTAAAGAATAACATTAATGCAATAAACATATCTTGCATATAATTTTGACCATAACCATAATGGTATAACTTTCTCTTTAAAAGAGATATTCACCATATAGATGTTGATGAATATGTGGTACTACAAAATTAATTGAGAACTCTACAAGAACCAATTATACTATTTTGGAGAAACACAATTGATTACCAATAATGTATTGTGTTGTAGTAAGTCTTAAAGAAACTTATTCAGTTTCTAAAGTATTCGCGAAAGCGGTTGGTCATACTGAGACTATAAATAAAGAAAAGATTTAATATCTTGTATTACTACGACTTGTAGCGGGATAATATGTATGTGAAAGGCTACCCGCTTTATTCTCCAGTTTGTACTACACAAACAAAAGAATGCCACAATAAAGTAGAAGTTTATTGATATAAAAACACATATCATAATAAACTTGAGTTTATTGATTTGCACACGTCATGGTGTAAATCTGAAGTTTATCAATATTGATAATTTATTCAGTTGGCATAATTGATTTAGCCATATCCATTTAAGTATGATGTGCAAAAATAATAGAGAATTCACATGGGTAAATATTAAAGAACTAGAAAGTTCTTTACGAATTCTCTTACATTGCTTGTTCTCATTAATTAATAGACCAACTAAAAGTGGGAATGAATCCCATGAATGCTGGAAATATCAAAGGTGAATATGGTCCCATTCACCTGCCATGTATACCACATAAGATGCATCTATGAGATGGTTACATATGCGATTATTAATAACGCGCAACATGGTATTTTGCGAGGTAACTTGCTCAATAATTTAATTTCAAGTATAATTTCCATATTTTCCATTCAAGACAGTTTATCTTGATAAGTTGGCTTACATCACAGTTGGTTTAGCAAAATGATTTATTGAGTGCCTCCACTTAATAGTTAAATTATTGCTTATGAGAACAATGTTATACATATTAGTTTGATATACGCTATATACGAAAGTATATTATTTTCTCCCCTCACAAGTGGTTCAGGGTCAGGAAACAAATAATTCGATCTCATTATTATTGATGTGCGGTGTATATTTTGATTAACACCATAACGCACAAAGGTGGATTCTCAAAGTTGAGGTAACAAGTTAGTTTTTCTAACATGAGGGGGAGACATGATAAATAGTTGAGAAAAAAGTTATTTGGAATGAATTATCATTTGTACATCTAGATCCTCGAATAAGATAATATGAACTTGAAGTTCATAAAAAGATAATTCATGTGCAATATATTGCAAAGCATGCCAGACGCATTTACTGACCCAAAGAAAGTAACTATATTCTCACTGCAAATGCTCCTATTAGAATAAGTCCTAGAAGGACAAAGTCTATGGTACGCTTAAAGCGTATAGATAAATTGGTTTCAAATAAACTTTTTGATAAAGAAGATGAGCGATTGATCAAAATGATCATAATAAAGGAGGCAAGTGATCTAGAAGATCACATGACATAACACTTCATAAAATCTCGTGAGAGATTCAGGTACCTGAATATATGAATGAAGATATCTCTATGTTATGTCTTTATGAAAAATAAGGAGGTTGGAACCGATATAAAATGTTTGTCGACGACATCTATAATAGCGCTAAATATATATATATATATATATGAGGATCTTAAGTCTGAAGAAACAATTCAAATAGAATTGGTTTCATATGAAAGCCATGTAGTTTTGAACATGCAGTTCAAATACTTGAAAGTATAAGTCAATGGTTTGTGCAATCAGTTTTCGATATCTTATATGTCTAGCATGACATGAAAACTTGATATGCATCTAAAGTCTATTATATGGCTTATATAACTTAACAATCCCTGAAGGATTTAAATTGCTTAAAGCATATAGAATTCATGGTCATGAAGTACTACATCCTCAATGCAATTTGTGCACAAATGTATCTTGCTATAACTATATTCATGATAATATGATAGCAAGAGTTTTCACCTCTATGTGAAGATATTGAACTGACGATTCCAACAAGATCATATGAAGACAATCCATCTCTATCAAGAATGATGATTTCAAGGTGCAATATATTCATTCAAGTTAATATGGCTGATTTGTTTATCAAATATCTACCAAAGATCTTTTGAAGATGGTGCACAAGATTGGAATGCAAATGCTTAAGGATGTGAAGTGATGCTCTCATGAGGAGGAGTTGATACTCGTTGTACTTTTTTTCCCTTACAAGGTTTTGTTCCACTGGGTTTTCCTTGCAAGGTTTTTAACGAGGCAACCAAAAGGCGTATTATTAGATATGTGTACTCTTTTTCCTTTTCTAGAATTTTTTTCCCATTGAGTTTTCTTCTAGTTAAGGTTTTAACGAGGCACATTATCTGTTGAATAGACATTCAAGGGGGAGTGTTATAAATAGAATTTTATTTATGGTGAATTCTATAGTTAGAGAGATTCTAGGGTTTATTACTTGGTAGCTAAGTCACCATCTCCCTATAAATAGAGGGTTCTATTCCATTGTAATTCATCCCAAATTCAATAAGAATTCCCTCTCTCTCTTTCTCTGCAATATTGTTCTTCTACTTTTATTGTTTTATAACAAAAATCAATTTTTAGATAGGCTATTTTGCTATTATTAATTGTCAAATAGTCATATAGAATGATTTACTTGTTACATTTATGTATTTTTTCTTATTTCATTTTAATATATAATGCATATTTTAGCTTAACTTTTAATGTTTTAATTTCTTCAAAAGAGAAAATGACTATTCGTTTCAAATGTGTATTTTTTTCTCGGGCCAAATTTTGAAAATTTTGATTGGAACTCAATCATTTCAATCAAATAAAAAAGTTCTAGCTAAAATAAGTGAGAACCAACGGTTATTTATTTTAACTACATGTTTATATTTTCTAGTCAAATTAATAAAAAAATATGGCTACAACTTTATTATTTTTTATCAAATATAAAAATGTATAGCCGCAATAATACTTGCAATTGTGTACTTTTTATTTATTTTCTGGATATAATGGCTATTTATTTTCATTGTGTATTTGCTTTCGGGAAAAAATTATTTAAAAAAAAAAATACTTGCTTAGAGCTCCATTATTTTTATCCAAAACATTACCAAAAATAATGAAGCTCAAATTATATTATTTTCTTTTTTTAGATCCCATGACTACTTGTTTCAACGGCCTTTTTTTTTTCAAGCCAAATGTAAAAATAAAAAAACAATTGAAATTTCATCATTTTAGCCAAATAAACAAAATTAGCCTAAATAGTGGAGTTCTAACCAAGTTTTATCATAAATTTTATCCGAAAAAGATGATCTAAAAATTAATATATTTAAAAGGGCAATATATATATATATATATATATATATATATATATATATATATAAAAATACCAAAGGGAAGAAAAATCTACGTGCCATGCACGTGCATGCCACTTTCTTGGAACGAGATCATCAAAGGGGGTAACAATAGTCGAATAGCCAAGTTTTAGGGGGTCTTTGAGGTATTCTGCCTAAAACTTTTATTTACTACAGGAAAATTATTATTGTTTAAAGAGTAAAAAAAATAACATTTTTTCAATATTTATAAAGATAAATGTTACGATGTCTTTGTATGATTTTGGACTTAGGAGTGCGTCGGATTGTGATTTAGAGGTCCGTAGTTGAACTTGGCTCGAAATGGCGAAAATTAGAATTTTGGAAAGTTTGACCGGGAGTGGACTTTTTGATATCAGTGTTGGATTCCGATTCTAGGAGTTGGACAGGTCCGTAATGTCAAATGTGACTTGTGTGCAAAATTTGAGGTCAATCGGACGTGGATTGATAGGTTTCGGCATCGCTTGTGGAAGTTTGAAGTTTCAAAGTTCATTGATTTCGAGTTAAGGTGTGATTCGTCGTTTCGATGTTGTTATGTGTGTTTTAAGGCCTCGAGTAGGTCTGTGTTATGTCATGGGACTTGTTGGTATGTTTGGAAGGGGTCCCAAGGGGCTCGGGCGTGTTTCAAATTGATTTCAGATTATTTTTCCTTCATTTTTCACTGTTGGTTCTGCTGATGTCTGGTGCACCAGTTCTTCACGATCGTGAACTGAGGGATGCAATCACGTAAGGGAAACTTTTGAGGCTGAGTGTTTCTTCATCGTGTTCGCAAGTATGGGTCCGCGTTCGCGTAGGATACTGTAGATCGAACATCGTGTTCGCGTAGGTGTGCACGTGTTCGCATTGTAGAGCTGAGCTCAGCAGGTCTTCATGGCTTCTTATCGCGTTCGCACAGGTTCTTTTTGAGACTGAGCAGTTTGTGCTTCGTGATCGCACAACTTATTACGCGATCACATAGTGTATTTTTAGGGGCAGTGCATTTTCTTCTTCACGATTGCGAGGGTGGTATTTCCGCGATCGCGATTCATTGAGTCGCCCGGTGATTATAAAGTACTCTATTTCGAGAGTTTCAACCATTTTTGCATTTTGGGAGCTATGGAGCTCGGATTGAGGCGATTCTTGAAGCAATTTCCACCATATGAATTAGGTTAGGTGTTCTCTACTCGGTTTTGGTTATATTCCATGAATCTATCTTCGATTTTAGCTTTTGGTTGATGAATTTTAAAGAGGAAATTGGGGGATTTTGGCCTAAAGTTTCATAGTATGATTTTTTGAGTTTTGAATATCGATTTGGAGTCGGAATTGAGTGGAACTAGTATTGTTGGACTCGTAAGTGAATGGGTTGTCGGATTTATGAGTTTTGTCGGGTTCCGAGGCGCGCCCCGAGTGTGACTTTTGGTCGGCTTTGGGTTTTGATTAACGATTCGATCTTTATCATTTGGAATTGCTTCCTTGGGCTTTATTTGATGTATTTGAGTTACTTTTGGCTAGTTTTGAGTTGTTCGGAGGTCGGTGCGCGCGTGATGGTATTCTTGGAGCATCGCTTGGCTTGCTCGATATTCATATCAGATTTGCTTTCATTCTCCAAGTAACTTACAGAAAACTTCTTTGTAAACTACATTTGTTGCTTCATTTGAAATTTCTCCATCATCAGCATAAACCAAAATCTTTAATCCCTTTCTGTTTGTAACCCGTGATAGAGAAACATAAAGCTGCCCATGTGTGAAGATTGGTTTCTTCAAATATGACCCAATATGAGATAAGGATTGTCCTTGACTTTTGTTTATAGTCATGGCAAAAGATACAACTATTGAAAAATTGTCTTCACTAGAACTTAAAAGCATTCTTGCATCAGATGGAGTCAACGACATTCTCGGAATGAACACCTTTTGTCCAGCCATATTTCCCGATAAATACTTTGTTTCGATAACCAGATTTCCAAGTCTAGTGATGATTAATCTTGTTTCGTTATATAGCCCTGAAGATTGGTCTATATTTCTCAATAACATCACTGGGACACCCACTTGATAGCATGATTTGGAATTCCAGAACACTTAATGGTGTTTAGCAATTCATGTGTATGTACGTGTTCCAAACCTATAAAAGCATCGTCTGAATACAGATTGTATCGGAACTCAATATATTTTTGGTTGACTTTGGTTTAGTGAAACCATGTGTTCGTTAATAGATTCAACCATGTCAGGAGTGGGAGCAAGAATTCCTCTTTGTTGTAAGTATGTTATATCACTGCAATGACTTAAAAAATCTGGATATGTACTTTCCACAATTACAGAAATTGAATCACCACAATTATTTATATTTTATAATAATATCACCGGGGATATGAATTTTTTCAATACCATCAACAGAATTTCCAATCATACCATCACCAATTGCTAAATTTCAATCAGAAAATTGTCTTAGATCATTCAAATGTGAATCTACATTACTTTCTTCCAACCTCATATTTTTTGTTAGCTTTAGGACATGACAGTGATTCCACATTATAGAGGGTGTTTTGATTGGCTTATTTTAAGTGCTTATTGGCTTTTAATAACTTTTTAATTTGTGTAGTGTTTGGCAATGATAAAAAGTGATTAAAAGCACTTACTTTTAGGCATAAAAAGTACAAAAATAAGCCAAAAGCCAAAAGTTGGGTATTATCAACTTATGGCTTTTGGCTTTTAGCTTAAAAGCTACTTTTTATAAGGTAATCCAAACACCCTCATAAAGAATTAAGGGCAGCATTAAATATCTTGCCTAGTGCCTTTTGCAATGACTGGAAGTATTTTTTTGAAGTCACCACCAAGAACAACCATTTTTCCTCCAAATGGTCGATCCAAATTGGATGCATCTTTAAATCTAAGAATATCAGTTAGAGTTCTATCTAGAGCTTCAAAACAATATCTATGCATCATTGGTGCTTCATCCCAAATATTAACTTTGTCTTGACAATCAATCTTGATAGAGGTACTTTGTTTTATATTACTTGTTAAATCTTCAGTTACATTGAGTGGGATTGCAAAATTTCGAATGAGTTGTTCGTCCTCCTGGTAACAAAAGAGATGCGATTCCGGTGGACGCAACTGTTAACACAATGTCTCCTTTAGATATTACGGTTGAAAACAATGTCCTCCAAATAAATGTATTCCCAGTTCCTCGTGACCATATAAGAAGAATAATCCACCTTTGTCCTCATGCACTGTTGTGATAATTCTGTCATAAACTAACTTTTGTTCCACTGTTTAACCAATAATTCTTCATGTTCCTTAGACAAAGAGCACCTATTATAACGCAATTCATCACAAATGAGTCTATTGGCGTCGTTGTATGCAGTAAAATTGGAGGGTCCAATTTTCCATCGTTGCGACGGCTCATAAGCACATTTCACAGGTTCGAGATTATGATCGAGTTTCACCCTTGAGAGCTATCGACACTCAACCTCGGCGCAGTGCAGACCAACCGTTGTGATGAAAAAGTGGGGAGTTCCCAAGGCGCATAACCAGAGCTGACAAAGTCTAGTGAGCTAAGTTCAGACCCGAATCACGGCGTCAACTAGATGTTCCATCTCCATATCTTTGTAATAAATGTATTTGTACTATGTTGAGGTTCCCCCTCATATATAAAGGGGATCCTTGTCACTTTGAAGAGATCTGTTGCTCAATACTAAATACACAAGAACATTCTCTCTGCTCTCTAACATATTCTCCTAAGCTCATTACCTCCATATATTGCTTACATTCATTGTGTTTTATTGATTGTTCTTCATTTATTGCTTATTATTGGCCATAAAGAGCCATCATTAAATCTATCATAATTGTTAGCCCCTCCATCGACTGCCTACGACATAGTATAATACTCGACCTCGAGGCCCCGAATAAGCAAGCTCGTGGCCCCGCTTATCAGCCTATCGGTTTGGTTATCACCTTATTTTCAAGCTCTTATCTCGTCTTCGAATCTCTTACTTAACATTTATCGTCTAAACAACTAGCATAAAAATAGATCACGTATTTTTAGAACCACAAAATCAAATCTAATTATAGTTACCATTTTCAAGGTAAACAGTTTGGCGCCCACCGTGGGACTACAAATAATAGTGATTATTTTCTTGCTGGTTTTACTACATAACGCAAGTTATCTTTCACGCCTTTTCTTGTCCAAGATCTTCGATTTCGGGTCAAAATGTCTAACTCAGTAAATGGAGGTGAAAGAAACAATCTTGAGGACCACGGAGAGAACGATGTGAATGTTCCAGGTGTTGGTGTACCACTGCAAAACCCTGAGAGTACGCCGGAACCGATTCCCAAGGATACGACCTCATGCAACGCCCAACACGCTAACGACGGTCCTCATATTAGCAAGGGAGCACGCCGAGAGATTCAGCGGGAAACTCGGAAAAATCCAACATGGGCAGAAAGAGAGATTTCTCAGCATGTCGTTCATATGATCATCGGGGGGACCGACATTCCCCAAGGACCCGTTATCAAATGGATAAAAATATCAGCTGTAATAGAAGGGCCGATCCGAGACCGCATGACCGAAGACACCCTTGCATTCAACAAGGAAGATTTTGAGACCTTGACGCAACTGCACAACGACGCACTAGTAATTTCATTTCTCCTAAGTAACATTCGGATTAAAAGTGTGCTTGTGGATCCAGGTAGCTCGGCCAACATAATCAGATCAGGGGTAGTAGAATAGCTTGGGTTGCTCAACCAGATCGAACCCGCCTCCCGGGTCCTCCACGACTTCAACATGGCCGGCGGGGTAACAAAAGGGGAGATCGCCCTCCCGGTCGACATGTCCGGTACATTTCAGAACACCAAGTTCCACGTCATCGGCGGTGACATGAGGTACAACGCAATGCTCGGCTGGCCATAGATACACAACATGAGGGCAGTACCATCAACTCTACACCAGATGATGAAGTTTCCAACAAAGGACGGTATAACAACCGTATATGGAGAACAACATGCAGCAAAAGAAATGTTCGCGGTTCACTGGGACTTGGGAGGCGTCGAATCCAACACAGTCTATCTCGGATGAGTCCGGAAGTGTACAGACCCCCGAGGCTGATGAAGAAGATTTCCTCGCTCCTTGAGCTTTCGTCTCCCCCGAGGAGTCGGATGCAACACAATCGACAATTGAAGAGCTGGAGCAAATTGTTTTGATCGAACATCTCCCAAATCGGAAGGTATACCTGGGAACGGGATTAACCCCCGAACTCAGGAAAAAACTCATTCAATTCCTTATTAATAACATCGACCGTTTCGCTTGGTCCCACCTAGATATGACAGGAATCCCGCCGGAGATAACCACCCATCGACTAAGCGTCGACTTCAGGTTCAAACCTGTGAAGCAAAAAAGGAGGCCCCAGTCCGAAGTAAAACATGCGTTCATCAAGGACGAGGTAACGGAACTCCTTAAAATAGGTCCATTAGAGAGGTAAAATACCCAGAATGGCTGGCCAATGTAGTGGTAGTACCCAAGAAATAAGTTAAGAATGTGTGTAGATTATAAAGACTTAAATAAGGCGTGCCCCAAGGATTCATTCCCATTGCCCAACATCGATTGCCTGATCGATGCCACGGCCGGTCACGAGACCCTCACTTTTCTCGACGCTTACTCGGGGTATAATCAAATTCAGATGAACCCCGGGGATAGGGAAAAAACTTCGTTCATCACAAAGTATGGTACCTACTGTTACAATGTAATGCCTTCGGGCTGAAAAATGCAGGGGCTACGTATCAACGTCTAGTTAATAAAATGTTCGAACATAAAATAGGCAAATCCATGGAAGTTTATATTGATGACATGCTAGTTAAGTCCCTGTGCGCAGAGGACCATTTGACTCATTTGCAGGAAACGTTCGACGTCCTCAGAAGTTACAATATGAAGCTTAACCCCAAAAAATGTTCCTTCGGAGTGGGTTGGGCAAATTCTTAGGCTTCATGGTGTCAAACAGAGGAATTGAGATCAACCCCGATAAAATCAAGGCCATCGAAGAAATCATGGTGATAAATAATGTAAAAGCAGTACAACGGCTAACAGGACGGATAGCGGCTCTAGGCAGGTTCATATCGAGGTCATCGGACAGGAGTCATCATTTCTTCTCTTTATTCAAAAAGAAAAACAACTTCGAATGGACTCCAGAATGCCAACGCGCCTTGAAAGAATTAAGGCGGTATCTGACTAGCCCGCCTTTGCTCCACACACCAAAAGAGGATGAAATGTTGTATCTATACCTGGCCGTATCTGAGATAGCGGTAAGCGGTGTGCTGTTTCGAGAAGAGCAAGGTACGCAATCCTTGTCTATTATGTAAGTCAGACCCCGGGGGATGCCGAAACCAGGTATCCGCACCTAGAAAAATTAGCTCTTGCGCTAATAAACGCATCGCGAAAATTGAAACCTATTTGCAGTGCCACCGTATTTGCGTTTTAACAACGTACCTTCTCCGAAGCATATTGCACAAGCCCGAATTATCGGGCCGATTGGCCAAATGGGCCATCGAACTCGGGGGATATGTATCGAGTATCAACCCCGAATGGCCATCAAGTCCCAAAATTCTGGCGGACTTCGTGGCCGATTTCTCACCATCCCTCGTGCCCGAGGTAGAAAAGGAGCTCTTACTAAAAGCGGGCACATCTTCCGGAGTGTGGACCCTATTCACCGACGGCGCCTCGAACGTGAGAGGATCCGGACTCAGTATAGTCCTGAAGCCACCCACGGGCGGCATGTTCATGCAATCTATCAAAACTGCAAGATTGACTAACAACTGTCTTGGCACATCTAACTTGGCCAAGACAGTTGTCAGTATAAACCCATAAGTGTGGCATGAGCCTTGGAGCCATTGATGACTCTATCCAGCAGCTTGACAATGAAAGCAGACCAGTTAATCTG